CATCATATTAATCTAAGAGGACCCAGGTCATCATTACAGACTTTATAAACACAGACACATGGCCGTACACAACAGGTGGGAGGAAAATTAGGAGGAAATGAGGAACGGGAAATAGACACATCATGATCATGACTTTTCTCAAGTAATATTACAACTTTAATCTTGTAAAATTACGACTTTAATCTTGTAATAATAATTTTAAAAATCTTGTTGTGTAGCCCTAATACTCCGTCGAACTGTACGGCTCTTTCACATTTGATAGAGTTATTGCACACAGATAATGTACATGTTGCACATTAAAACTGTACATATTGCACATTGTTTATTAAATAAAACCATTGTTTGTGTCAGCAGTGTGAAATGTAGGAGATATGACACGTTCCTATGAGCCTGCACTTCCTGTTTGGGAGCTGCTTTTAAAAGAAAATGAAGTTCATATGTTTAACATGTGTATGTACCAAAAAAAGGAGAAAAAATAGAAATGTTTACAAAATATTTAAAAAGTTTGTACAAGTGAGAAGTTAGTGTGACATCATCAGCTGTCATCTGAAGAAAAATCTGTGAAAATCCTCTAACTTTAACTCCAGTTGTGTAAAACATTAATAATAAGAGAACAGCAGTTCAGTCATGAAAAGTCCAACTTTCTGTGACTCGTTTTAACTTTGACTTTTCATTTTTTGTGATTTTTGTTGACATTTTACAATGTTGGATAAATAAAAGTGAAGCATATTGTTTTATCTTAAAGCTGTGCAGTGAGTAGAGTTTGAACATTTTGATCATCACTCTGAACAGGAAGTTGAAATGAGCAGAAGTGAGTAAAGGTTAGCTCACCTGGATGTTGCAGGAGCGGTAGGACTTTTCTGGTCCGACACAGTTATGWCCTCCGTCCGTCCTTTGCACAGGAAAAAGAAAATCTGTTATGTGTAAACATTAGATGATAGATGTGAAGCAGGACATTCACAGGGTTGCTGTGACAGAAGAGACACACCTACAGGGAACAGCTGGAGGAAGTAGAAGTGTTTAATATGTTATTCTTCAAATAAGTTTGATAAAATACTGGATTTTCTCTGAATATCCTGACTTAMAAGCAGACAACAGAATGCATGTTATTCTACTAAATGTTGTTGATTTCTATGTGCTGGAAAACTCTTGATGGAAAAGAGTAGCTGCAGGATGCAGACTGCAGAGCTCCCTGCTGAACCGGGACAGATACTGAATGTAAACGTGAAGAGAGAAGGGATTTTATTAGTTMTTATCCAGTAAGACACATAAAAAATAAAGATTTCAAAACCTCACAAAACAGTCAAAATATGAAAAATAAATTAAGCATATTAAAAGAAAAATGTTTTGTCTTTTTTTTGTTTTTCACTTTAACTCTTTTGGTATCTACAGCACTCTAATGCAAATATGTTTGTTTCAATATGGGAAAAATTTTGATTTTTTTATTTAGGTTTTATTTTTGTTTACTTTTCTCATTTAAAAAAAATAGGAAGAAGAATATTTTGGGGTGCACATCCATATGGCAACAT